ACATTGGGATTGGGATTGTGGTGCATTGTACCATGTATTCCTTGACTCATTCAGCTGTTAATGAATGGTAACTTTGACTGTTACCTTGTGCTTCCCTCCATCCATGCGTGAATGGCTCATTGTAGCCTATCTGAGATCAGCTAACCAGTGGAAGAAAATGAAATTGCATTTTGATAGTATCTTTCATGACAAAATATCCCCAAAACATTTTATGTGCATTTTAAGTGTTTTTGAAGTAGAATATAGGAAAATAACAATCCAGTTTGGGCGCAGCAAGCTCTCACGTAGCAATTGGGTTAAATGTTAACATTAGTGATACTCACGGAAAGAAAGTTTCATAGCCACCTCAGTTTAGTGCCTCATGTGACAGTACTGGGAAGGATAGGCTCAGATTTTTCTGAGTAGGATTTGAGCCCCTGATGTTTTGATACTGTGTTATCAACTGAGCCACTGGTGATAGCAATGCAGACTGGGCAGTACGTTTCCTTATGAAGGCAAAGGGAGAACATTACAGCTTTAGTTTTCTGTTTTAATTTTAACATCACTCCAAAATAGTGAGAAACTGGGGTTATTTCTGATGAAGTAAAAGGATCATTGGGTGACCTGACCTGACCTAACCTTCCCTGTCCCAAATGTTCCACAGAAAGTGTACTTGAAACACGTGAATGCTTTTAACTTTACATTCTACTATAACGGTTTTTTTTTTGATATGGTCTCACTTGGTGACTATTTTCTATCACATTGCCATTGTAGTACTTTGTAGTCTCATTTTCAGTGAAAGATTTGGCTTGTTGATCAGATAAGCAGTTTCCTGTTTTGCTCATTACAGCCGCAGTCAGGTTTAGCCACAAAGACTTGATTACATTAAAGTTCTTTTGATAATCACACCTACAGACACCACACCTTTTACAAAGTTAATATTTGTCAATGTCGTTTCAAAATTGTATAATGCTTAGTTTTAATTCTGTACTCGTGCTTACCTTTTTGAAAAGAAATCTGTTATTTTGAGAACACTTCGTGCTGTTCTAGCTGGGCATTGCCACAAAGAGTGAGCAGTTTAGCTTAGCTAACCCCGTCCTTCTGTAATTGACAAGGGCTGACCACTAACCACCTAGGGCTTGTGCTGGTGTCTCCTGACACTGGACAAAGGCCTGGTTCTGTTTACATCATAATTGTATCAACTCAAATGCAATTTACCGACACAGAAACGGGCCATTCAGCCCAACTGAACTGTGGTGGTTTTCAACCTACACACTAATTTCTTCTATGCCTTATCAACAAGCCCTATCGTCGTATCGCTTTTTATTCTGCTCTCCCTACTGTAACTGTCCATCTACACCATAACTGCATCAGTGCTATTCACCTCAATCACTCTTGGTATTGTAATGAGTTCCACATTCTCACCTGTCCCCAGGTGAAGGAGATTCTCCTGAATTCTTCATTTAATTTTTAGGTTTTTTTCTTTAAATTGATTTATGGGACATGGGTGTTGCTGACTTTACAAATTCTGGTCTGGTGGCTGGAGAAAATGTGAATGTGTTTGAGTAATATATTTCCTATTCAATACATTGCCATGTCTAGGATGTATTTTCAGATTAATAATAATGCAATATAAGTTGGATTCATTTTTAAAGCCGTCAAACTTGGTCAAGTGCTTTGTAATCAGTATTATCAGCCATGGCTCAGTGGGCAACATAATCACTTCTGTGTCAGAAGGTTGTAGGTTCAAGCCTCAATCCAATGCAATCACTGCAGTGCAGTACTGTAGGAGTGCTGCAGTGTTGGACATACAAAATCTTAGACAAAACATTGAACCATGGACAACAAGGTGCAGGGCTGGATGAACACAGCAGGCCATGCAGCATCATAGGAGCAGAGAGGCTGACGTTTCGGGCCTAGACCCTTCATCAGAAAAGGGGGAGGGGAAGGGGGTTCTGAAATAAATAGGGAGAGAGTGGGAGGCGGATAGAAGAGGGATAGAGGAGAGGATAGGTGGAGAGGAAACAAACAGGTCGAAGAGGCGGGGATGGAGCCAGTAAAGGTGAGTGTAGGTAGGGAGTTAGGAAGGGGATAGGTCAGTCCAGGGAGGACGGACAGGTCAAGGGGGCGGGATGAGGTTGATCGGTAGGAGATGGAGGTGCGGCTTGAGGTGGGAGGAAGGGATAGGTGAGAGGAAGAACAGGTTAGGGAGGCAGGGACGAGCTGGACTGGTTTTGAGATGAGGTAGGGGGAGGGGAGATTTTGAAACTTGTGAAATCCACATTGATACCATTGGGCTGCAGGGTTCCGAAGTGGAATATGAGTTGCTGTTCCTGCAACCTTCGGGTGGCATCGTTGTGGCACTGCAGGAGGCCCAGGATGGACATGTTGTCTGAGGAATGGGAGGGGGAGTTGAAATGGTTCGCGACTGGGAGGTGCAGTTGTTTATTGCGAACCGAGCGTAGGTGTTCTGCAAAGCGGTCCCCGAGCCTCTGCTTGGTTTCCCCGATGTAGAGGAAGCCACACCGGGTACAGCGGATGCAGTATACCACATTGGCAGATGTGCAGGTGAACATCTGCTTGATGTGGAAAGTCGTCTTGGGGCCTGGGATGGGGGTGAGGGAGGAGGTATGGGGGCAGGTGTAGCACTTCCTGCGGTTGCAGGGAAAAGTGCCGGGTGTGATGGAGCTGGAGGGGAGTGTGGAGCGGACAAGGGAATCATGGAGAGAGTTGTCCCTACGGAAAGCAGATAAGGGTGGGGAGGGAAAGATGTCTTTGGTGGTGGGGTCGGATTGCAGATGGCGGAAGTGTTGGAGGATGATGCGTTGGATCCGGAGGTTGGTGGGGTGGTACGTGAGGACGAGGGGGATTCTTATTGGTTCTTATTGTGTGGACGGGGTGTGAGGGATGAGGTGCGGGAGATGTGGGAGACACGGTTGAGGGCGTTCTCGACCACCGATGGGGGGCAGTTACGGTCCTTGAAAAATGAGGACAACTGAGATGAACGGGAGTGGAATGCCTCATCCTGGGAGCAGATGCGGCGGAGGCGAAGGAATTGGGAATAGGGGATAGCATTTTTGCAGGAAGGTGGGTGGGAGGAGGAGTATTCTGGGTAGCTGTGGGAGTCGGTGGGCTTGAAATGAATATCTGTTTCTAGGTGGTTGCCCGATATGGAGACAGAGAGGTCCAGGAAGGGGAGAGAGGTGTTAGAGATGGTCCAGGTAAACTTAAGGTTGGGGTGGAAGGTGTTGGTGAAGTGGATGAACTGTTCGAGCTCCTCGTGGGAGCACGAGGCGGCGCCGATACAGTCATTAATGTAACGGAGGAAGAGGTGGGGTTTAGGGCCGGTGTAGGTACGGAAGAGGGATTGTTCCACGTAACCTACAAAGAGGCAGGCGTAGGTTGGGCCCATGCAGGTGCCCATGGCTACCCCCTTTGTCTGTAGGAAGTGGGAGGAATTGAAAGAGAAGTTGTTGAGTGTGAGGACGAGTTCAGCTAAGCGGATGAGGGTATCAGTGGAGGGGGACTGGTCGGGCCTGCGGGACAGGAAGAAGCGGAGGGCCTTAAGGCCATCTGCATGGGGAATGCAGGTGTAGAGGGACTGGACGTCTTCCTCCCACCTATCCCCTCCTCCCACCTCAAGTCTCACCTCCGTCTCCTACCGACCAACCTCATCCCGCCCCCTTGACCTGTCCGTCCTCCCTGGACTGACCTATCCCCTTCCTAACTCCCTACCTACACTCACCTTTACTGGCTCCATCCCCGCCTCTTCGACCTGTTTGTTTCCTCTCTTCTATCCGCCTCCCACTCTCTCCCTATTTATTTCAGAACCCCGTTCCCCTCCCCCTTTTCTGATGAAGGGTCTAGGCCCGAAACGTCAGCCTCTCTGCTCCTATGATGCTGCTTGGCCTGCTGTGTTCATCCAGCCCTGCACCTTGTTGTCTCGGAGTCTCCAGCATCTGCAGTTCCTACTATCTCTGATTCAAATTGAACCATGGCTCTGTTTTCCTCCTCGGATGGGCAGAAAACACAATTTTGTGCCATTTAGAAGAGTTGGGGATGTTCACCCCAGCTTCCTGCCCATTATTTATCCTTCAACAACTGCAAAGATTGTGATTGCATCATTTGTTTTTGTTTGTGGGAGCTTGCTGTATGCAGGTTGACTCTTGGACTTTGTGTATTGTAACAGTACATTTACAAAAGGGACTTCATCAGCTGGAAAGCACTTTGCATCATCAGGAGGACATGAAAAATGCCTTGTGAATGCAGACTCTTCCTCTGTCACAGCATCGATGCAGTAACCTCGTCTTACGACTGAATTCATAATGAATCCCTTATGGGAGAGGGCATAGTCTCAGAATTAAGGGGTGCCAATTTTAGACTGAGATGATGAATTTCTTCTCTAAGGATTGAGTGTCTTTGGAACTCCTTGGCACAGAGCTGTGGGGACAGAGTCCTTGTGTATATTTAAGGCTGGGATAGATTCTTGATCATCTGGGGAATCGAGGGTTATGCAGATAATACAGGAAAGTGGGCGTGAAGAGTGTTGATCCTGTTTAATGGTGGAGCAGGCTCAAAAGGCTGAACGGCCTAGTTGATTCTTATTTCTTCTGGTCTTGTAGGTAGATTAGCTGCAAGCTTCCTTCTTTCCTTCTGCTCCCTCTGTCGCCTGGCCAGCTTTTGAGATTCAAAGTGAAATGGGTTTAGGTTGCCATGATCAAGCGCTCAGTCGACGTTAACCTGTCATGTTGAATGCCGTAAATTTGACGGGTGGATAAACAGTTTGAGAGGCCAGAAAGATGCGAATATTTCAGGAATAAAATGTGTGCCAGAAGCATTGTGTTACCGCTTGAGTTTTGGGCACACACAAGAAACTGCGATGTGTAACTCAATCTATCTGCCTTGCAGCTGACAAACGATTTTTCTAAAAACCTTTCTCTTTGACAGATGTGTGCAGAGGTCCAGTAGTGTGTGTTATCTTAAACTCTTTGTCCTAAACTGTTTTGTTTTCTTTGTTTCAGCAGGTGCAAAGGCCTTTGTTTGTGATCAGTGCGGAGCACAGTTCTCTAAAGAAGATGCCCTGGAAAGTCATCGTCAGACCCACACCGGTACTTTTTACAAAGCTTTCAAGTTTTACCTAGAGTAGAGTATCTGATTTGGTTTTTGTTGCTAACTCCCAAGTTTTATTGATGGAATCAAAGGCAACAGATAATTGGAGAACTTAAACTGAGGTGATTCTGCATTCATGATTGGAGTAATGATCAAAAACTTAGTCATAGAGGTAGGTAACTTAAAAGGAGGAGCGCGGGGGTTTGGAGAACAAATTCCAAAGGTTAAAATCTAGGCGGTAGAAGTAACTGCCAATGTTGGTGGGACAGTGAAAATTGCAAGAGGCCTGAGTTGGTGGATCGCAGACATCCCTAAGGGGTTTTTAAGTTGTTCACGTGAAGCGGAGAGTTGCTGGCTGGAGGAGCACCTTTGCCCATCTCTAATTATCCCGATGGCAGTTGAGAGTGAACCACCTTGCAATGGATATGGAGTCACATGTAGGCCAGACAAGGTAAGTATGGCAGAATTTCTTCCCTAAAATGCATTCCTGCACCGGATGGGTTTTCTCCCCCCACCACTCGACAACTCTCTCATGGTTATCATTGGACTCTTAATTCCAGGTTTATTTTTAAATGAGTTCAGATTCCACCATCTCCCAGCTTTCCAGAACATTACCTGGGTCTTGCAACTGAAAGTCTATCGAAAACACCACTAGATTGTGTAGAGCTGCAGGAGCCATCAAAAATGAGGGGGTTGGGGAGTGGTAAGGCAATGGAGAGATTTGATCATAAAGATGGAAGTTTTAAAATTGAGAGATTACTGAACAACATACACCAAAAGTATGTGAAAATATGTTGACTTGAAGGAAACCTGTTCTAAAGATCCAGAGGATGGATTTTAGTCTATGCTGAATTGCAAGTTTCGGCTACGATTTTGCTATTTTAATTGAGGATGGTTGGTGAAATGTAAAATCAAAGCTGAGCTTAATCATTATAGTTCTGTGCAGTGTGGGTCCCATTATTGCTGCTCGATTGCAGCTACAGGTTTGCTTTTGGGGACAGATTGTTTCCTGATTCATTGCGATGTTCAGGATTTGAATTTCCAGTTTACTGAGGGATGGAGAATAAAATTTCTACTGGAGCTTTGTCTTTAGTTGTTTAATATCTGGCAATATCATTGGATGTTCTATTCTGCCTTACAGTATGTTTTCAATGTGATGCTTGTTTAACAATTGGATAATTCTATGTTTGTTTGCTGCAAATTAAATGTGTTGTCAAAAATGGTCCAGAATATCAAAACCTGGTGCACCATGCACCACGGATACAGGCAATACGATGCAGAGTAGCTTTCACATCTCATAGCCACATTCCGTAGGATTGCAATAAGTGGCGATGCACTGTCTCCTTAAATTTGAAAAAGATTTTGAACAGGGAGATGGTGTTTCAATTGATGGCAGTAATTGAGAAGAATCCGAGGGAAGACTGGGGCAATGACCTATTAAAGCAACAAGAAATATAATTGTATTTGGTAAAAGATTTAAGAATTATCTCTTCCGTTGCCATCATTCTCAGTATAATTGTTTTTGTAAAATATGCTGTACCAGCAACCCATTCGCATAACTTGCCTGATTCAAGATGTTTGCTCAATGGACAACTCAAGTCTAGTTTTGATTGTATTGAAAGTATTATTTAGACAGGCAACATCTCCCATCTCCATTTTTAATAAAAGCATAAATATGTTGCGTTAAAAGGGGCTTGTTTAACTCAGCTCGACTAGTCACAAGAACCTATTCACATCAACCAAGTAAAAGCAAAGTCGCCATTGTTCTCCTTGACCATAGATCTGCTCTCACTAGAGAGAGACGACTGGTGGTGGCAGTAACCTGATGGTCACCACACCTCAGACAAGGGGAGAAGTTGAGAAGGAAAGTCCTTCATACCTCAGCCAGTGTGGGAGTTGGCATCACTAACTGACCACCCTCCCATCTGGGCCAGGAATGTGCGTCAAAGGATTGATAAACGGTTTCATAAAAGTCACTGGCACTTTTGTGGCGTGGACACTTACTTTTCGTACTTCTCTCCTTATAAAATCGGCTACTCCTCGAGCAAGTGACTTTTTTAAAATATCAAAACTAAAGCGTGTGGGATTCCAATTAATAGGCCAGTGTTAGAAATGTTGTTTTTATGTCAATATTCTGAAATTGCCGCACCCTCTCTCCCATGTTGCGAAACAGAAGTAGACTTGTGCAGGTCATCGACAGCCAGCAGTTATGTTGCTAATCAGTGTCAAGTTCGTAGAAAGACGTACAAACTAATAATGACGAGTGACATACTTGGTGTTTAGTTGCAGCACTGCTGGTCAGTGAAGTTTCACTCTGTATTCTTGTAGCTTCAGCGTGGGTGAACTTTGCCATCTGTCTTTTACATTGCTGCATTGCACCAACAACTTGCATTTCTGTAGTATTTTCCAATGCTGTTAAGGTTTTGAAAGTAGCAACTCCGAAGCAATATTTAACACTGAGTCCCATATAAGGAGATATTTAGGATAGGTGACAAATCTTGGTCAAGAGGTAGGTTTTAAGGAGCACCTTTAAGAGAAGCAAGTGGTAGAGTGTGTTACAGAATGAATTCTAGAGCTGAGGACCCAGACAGCTGAAGGAATGGCCACCAATGAATATCAAACATGTGCAAGAGACCTAAATAGCGAAGTGCAGAGATCTTGGAGGACTGTAGGGCAGGAGGAAATGTAAGGTGGTGGCAAGGCTACAGAGAGATTTGAAAATCAGAATTTTGAAATCTGGTTATAGCTTGATCAGTTATGGCAAAATGTAACTAAATTCATAAACCTATCCTCTTCTGAATGATATAGTGCAGTGTTCAGATTTTAGTCAGCATTGCATTGGGAGTGAGTTTCTGCTGAGGTTTATGATTTTAATGAAGGTGAAGAGTGAGAGGGGAGTAGGATATGGCCAGATGGGATCAGGTTTGGATCTAAAATCTTTGTAGACTGTGAAACCGCCCAGAGGATCTAAACTTCTGTGCCTCTTCTGTGGTATTTTGAACCCAGGACAGTTTAACCAGAGGAGACGGACTGCATTTGAAGGGAGGTCTAAATCCAAACTAAAGTGTGGAAGCAATATTTCAGTGAGTGAGTGGTTAACATATAAAATAGGGTCCTGGGGGAGATGGTGGAAGGAGTTTGTATTGATTAATTCAGATATACCTTGGCCTTATCTCAGGAAATATCAACTTGGGATCCAGTTTATGAGCAATTTGAGATTTGACATGCTGTGACTTTAGCGTGGCTTGGCTTGGGGAGAAATGGATGACTTTGGACCCATCGTCTGAAAGCTCTTCATCACTGGAGGCCTTTGTCACCTTGTGTCTGAGTCTGTAATAGACTAAATGATCAATCATAGTGGAGTTGTTGGCTAATCACAATCATTAGATCATGCAATTATCGGGATAGTAGAGGGTGGACTTGCATGAATCTTGGCCTCTCTTTTTGTATTTGTTCAATTCTCCGGTTCCTAATGGAGCCGTGCCTGGAATTTGGGTGGGGGACGGATGGTGGCCAGTGATAGAGTAGGAACCAGTTGATGCTGCAGTGGGTGGGAAAGAGAGGAAAGCATTGCTGAATTCGTTCAGCTGCGTTCTAGTTTAATCGGGGATGACTTCCATTTTACATGAAAGCAGAGAGATTATGGGAAGAATGACTAAGTGATGATTTAGGTTTCCCACTTTATTGCTGTCAGTGAGGCTTTGTAGAAATTCTTCCATGACGCTCTCCAGTCTTTGACAGTCCCTGATGAGTTTCAATATATATAGTAACCACATTACTAACCTATAAATAGGCTTCTTGTCTAGTATCAGTTTTTGGTTGCTTGATTGACGCTTTGTAATACGCAAGCTACTGAAATTTAGTTGTAGCAATAGTTGAAATTTTCTTAATGGGTTTGGGGAGAAAAACTTTTGAAGTTCTTTAATTTGAACACACCCATCCTGACTGCCTACTGATTTTGAAGTTAGTCGCTCAATCAAAATGTAGGCAAATGTGCCTGAACTGTTTTTGATGAGTTTCTGTAATCCTTTTCTAAAGTATGTTAAGTGGTTCTGCTTTTGATATTCTCCATTATTGAGCTAAGCTTTCAGTTGTGACAGAAGATCTACATTTTTGAGAGTGAACAGTGACAGGCTTTATTGAACATGCCTATGTAGAGAGGATAGACATCTTACTTGGAGCCTGATAGAACCCGTTCCCAGTCCTTGTGATCTGATGTCACAATGATGTAGCTGCTTTTGCACGTGAGCACTTGCCATATCCAGAGTAAAGATACAATTTCTTTAGTCCACATCTCCTTTGCTATGTTATGTAACATAGGAAAGCCAATACAACAAAATTCTCTTTTACCAGTGAGTTTAGTTGTTTGTGTGTTAAATAGTAAATCCCTCACTTGTGTGGTCCTATTCAAAAAAAAACTCTAACTGCTCAAGTCACCCCCAAAATCCCAAAGACCCTAACAATCGTTGAAGCACTTACAAAATGTATCCACTCTGCTAACATAGGAAATTCAGAAGCCAAATTGCCATATCAAGCCCTCAAAAACAGCAAGGTGATAATGGCTGCGTAATCAGATTTGCAGAGATTGGCTAGATGTTGGAGATAAATGAACCTGCCCTTTCCTGTCAATAGCATGCCAGGCCATTTAGCTTTCATCTGAGAAAGCAAATAGGTCGCTGGTTTAACACCACATTTAAAAGACTGCAACACTCCCCAGATTCAGGAAGCTTGAAGTTTGACTGAAGTCTCTGGATCTCAGTTCAAGCTTGCAGTTCAGACTGAGTATAGCTGACAGCTTGGAACAGCTTTGGTTGTGTTGAACTTTACAGCTTGAGAAATGGTGATATCTTCAGTGTTGGTCTTGTTATGAGGAAAGATACTTGGATTATTGGAGGGAGTACAGAAAAACATTTGCCCGACAGATTGCTGGGATGCCTAATCTGACGTACGGGGAGAGACTGAATTAGTTAGGACCATATTCAATAGAGTTTAGAAGTGT